CTAAGCTCACTAGGTTGAAAGAAAATAAGAATGATTGAAGTGAAATATAATCGTTAGACATGAACATTTTAAATCATCATGATATTAATATTCTGGATCTACCAGATGAAATATTACTTGCCATTTTCAATAAACTGAATACGATCGATATGCTCTATTCATTGGCAGATGTAAATCAGCGATTTGATCGACTAGCACTTAATTCTCTCGTTATTCATCATCTCAATTTTGTGACTAAACACGATGATATTCATCATTCTTCAGTAGAAATTGATATTCTTTCACGAATTTGTTCGAAAATTTTACCTCGAATTAATGAGAAAATAATCAAACTCACTCTTGAATCACATTCTATGGAACGTGTTATTAATGCTGTTGATTATCCTCAACTCCGTTCATTATCATTAGTCAATTATCAACCGAAAATACTTTTACGACATTTATCAGGTATATTTATGAATTTCAATTAATTTCATCTATTATTTATATTTAAGATAAAACAATGTCACATCTTCTTACTAATCAAATTACACATATGATTATCGAGATTAATAATGAGAATGTTACAATACCGACTAGACATGAAGCAGATATATTTGCAATCATATTATTAATTTGTAAACGTTTAAGTGATTTGACTTTTCTTCTAACGTCCTCAGAAGAATATCTAACAATTTTATTGTTGAATATTTTATATGGAAATTCTTTTTCTTCAAACCTCACTAAATTAACAATAAATGTCAATAGTTTTGATGATTGTCTTTATCTTCTTAATGGATGTCTCGAATCTTTATCTACATTTATTATTCGTATCAAGAAAATTACTCGTTCATTATCGGAAATAGATAATACAGTAAGTATAAACGTGATCATTAAATATAAATAAATTTATCTTTGATACTTGATGATTAATTCATTTTCTTAAGAAAAAGCTTTTCAAATTAAAACATTTCTCATTAGCAACAGATTTTTATACACGTTGTTATGATACAGAAATTGTTCCATTACTTCGTCGAATGTTAAATCTTGAAGAATTAACATTATTTCTTTCAGTAGTAACAAGTAAATCGACTTATATTGATGGTAATCAATTATATGATGAAGTTCTTAATTATATGCCACAACTAAATAAATTTATCTTCAATATACACACTCGCATTATGAACAATTTTAATTTCAACAATAATATTAAAATTGATCTTCCATCGAATGATGATATTCGAAATAGTTTCATTAAAAGAGGATTCAAATCAATTGATACATGTGCTGATGATAAACTTATTAATGATCGAGCCAATTGTCATGTTTATTCTCTTCCATATCAATTCAACGAATTCTTGTTTATGAATAGTTGTTTTCAAGGTGGAAAATTCGATAAAGTTCGATTATTAACAATGTTTGATATACGTCCATTTGAACATGAATTATTCAAAATCATCTCTCAAGACTTTCCTTCTCTTCAACAATTAGAAATATATAATAATCATCGACAAATGAATAAACACCATCATTCATTTACATTAATTACATTTAATCATCTGTTTAAACTCGATTTTAACGGTGTACACAAGGACTACGTTATACAGTTTCTTTCTGATAAAAAGACCCGTTTACCTTGTTTAACAAATCTCATAATTGAATATAAAACATTAGTAACTGTAACAAATAATTTTACCAATGATGCAACACGTCTCAATTGTTCTAAAATTAAATATCTAGTTACATATGAACCGTTTGTTCGTTCACAAAATTTTGTTTCATATTTTCCTTCTCTGTAAATATTATTCTTTTTTATCAATCATTTGAATAAAAACAAATACAATAAACATAAGGTGCACCAAATGCAAAGGTGTAACATAAAAAAAAGGTTTTTTTTGTTTAATACGTCATTAGACAGAGATCGTCGAGTTGAATCTAAATATGTATGACTTTTTGTATTTTGAGCATGATTTCGGAGAAGAAACGTTAAAATATTAAAAATCCAGAAAATAACCGACCAATAGATATCGTTCAGAAAGAGGGTGTAGGGGGTGTGTATGGGTGTGGGTGTGGGTGTGTGGGGTGTGGGGGTGTAGGTGTGGGGTGGGTGTGGGTGTTGGTGTGCGTGTGTTGCTCTTCTCTTCGCCGACACCCACACCCACACCCCACACCCACACCCACACTCCACACCCACACCCACCTACACCCCACACCCACCCACACCCACACCCCCCACCGACACCCACCCACGCCCACACCCACCCACACCCACATCGACACCCATACCGGTCTAAAAATAAGCAAATATAGATTAATACGTTTTAAAATTTATAACGATCAGAAGAATTCTGAGAAATTTTCTTGAACGAAGTAAAACTTATTTTTATCTTTCGAATCAAACAAATAATCATAATTAAGATTTTAGAAAATTTCAGTTACTTTTTTAACATATTGAACAAGCTTTTTGCAATTAACAATTGTCTTTATAACTTCTTGTGCTGATGAATCTAAATCAGGTAATTCTAATTTTCTGGGATCGTTCAAGGCTGATCTACCACCAGACTTTGTTATTTTCTTTTTATTTGTATGAACTGGTAAAAATGATTCGTTGTCATCTTCACTAGATGATATTGAAAGATCACTGTCTTCACTTTTAATTTTGTCAAGATTTATTGTTGATAATTGTGCATTTTGTTCTTCATTTTTATTTTTCTTCTTTTGTGATTGAAAAAACGATCTCTTTAATATATTGTTTAGACGATGAGCATAACAATAAATTGGTCGATAAGGTTTCAAGGCCTTCACCAGATTTGGCCCTCGATCAGATACAAAATGTAGTTGAGTTAAATCATTTAAACCATAACTTTCCAGTACTTTTTGAATACACTCAATATTAAAGAAAAGTAAAATATAACAAAACTTTTTTCTCAGTAAAGTGAACAAGAATAATTTGAAGACAGCTAAAAAATGTTTTCGATGTATTGCACTATTTCAAGTATCAAATTCATCAAGGAATATGTCCACCATCCCTTTCTCCTGCTTCTGATACTATCCTTATTTTAGTTTAAAATAGCGAATAGAGGTTATTTTATTTGAGATTTAAAAATACTACATCATCTCAACACAAGTAAATTGTCTCCCGATTGATCCACTTTGTAATAAGGTCGACAACATAAATCCACAGTTTTATAATTAAGATTTGCATCAACAAATGAACATGATAAACCTGAATAAGATAACTGTTTATCAGCATCGCTCCACATATCTGGGCTGATGCACATAGCTTCATTTTCGAATGGTTCTTTTAAAATTTCTCGTAGTTCCGTTCGATACTTATCGGCTAAAGAACCAATATGATCTGATGTTACATCAGCACCACGAACAATGTTTTTAACATCAAAATCACCATGTTTTGCTCCTATAAAAAAGATTTAATTTAGTAAACAATAATCGAAAACTTACCTAGACTAATCAATTCTTGAAAAATGATTCTTAAACCTGTATCTTCAGTAATTGTAAAGGGTCTCATATCTGCACAAATCCATTTAGCCATTAAATCTTTAAATTTGTGTTGCTCTTTATCGCTTAGTTTTATTTGTTTCAAATTTTTTGAAATATTGTCGAGAGTTGTTTGAACTGTGGTCGGCGCTGATGTTGTAGAATTTGTAAGAAAGTTTATAACACATATATGTGCATTCAAATGGCGCGTACCAGTAGTTGATGTATAAGTAAAAGTTTGATAACATTGTTTGCAACTAACAAAACCATTGATACGTTCAAAACGACCAGCTTCGTTTTTTTCGGTGGGGAAACCAAAAACATTCCAACATTTCGATTTGAATCTTGAAGTATCATTATCAGCTACTTCATAATTTGCTTTATCATGTTGTAGACGATACTTAATTTTATCAACTGTATATTTATTGTTCATGGACATTGTAGGTGATAAGGAATAAGAAGTGGTAGTATAAGATGCCATAATAACAGATAAAATAAGATAAAATAAAAGCGATGTTCAAAACTACATTCACGCAAACAGATGATCAAATTGTTTTTCTTTATTTTTTTTCTATTCTTATTATCGATTTATTTATTTATTGATTCATTTATTTATTTTTTCGATCATATCCAAAGTGCAAACGGTTTATCAATAAGGAATAAGAACCGAAAAATATTAGTTAGTTATGTTCATCAGTGTACACAAACGACATCTTTTCATAATACATCTGCATGGCGAAAAAATCTATTGAACGTCCCATGGGATGACTTTCTCGTCCCATCCCATCCCATGAGATATTTGGAGAACAAAGTTGTCCCATGGGGTGGGATGGGATGGGATTGTCACATTCCATCCGGAGCCCTGTAATAGAGCCATTTAGAGAATCGAACTTGGAGCTTTCCAAATTATCATCAGAATGGCCATGTAATGGTCTAGCTTTCATGGTAGTTTCCATCTTTTTGGAAGAAGTAGTAAATAGGCTATAAGTCCATTCATTTCTGGAGTTTCGCTCAAGGGGAACTTATCTGATCTTTTTTTTCTGTCAGATGATAATATCTGAAATTTAACATGGAAGTGCCTTACGCAGGAGTAGAATGTCAATTCAGTTCTTTATGCGTTCATGTAGTTTTCATGTGGTTGCGCTGCAGAATTAAGAGAGTTAAATCTGATTTATGTCGCATAATGCCCTTGAGGAGAACATGAAATGGTGTTTAGATTTTGGTGTTTGTGTTGATTTCGTTCTATAGAGACAAGAATAGGTTGAAAATATTTTTGTGATTCTTGTCATGAAAATTTCGTTGCTAAGGGTCGCCATTTCCAAATTATCAGCCTTCAATCTGATGTTTTTAGTTTTTCGATTTTCTGATTGACCGTTCATTCCACCAATAGACTTTTTTCTCTCGTCGTGGTAATTCGTCATGTTATGCTAGCTTCACATCGATAAACAAAAGAATCATCATGAATGATATTTTTACATCACTATTGATATATAGATATATATACGTATGAATATTTGTTTTGAATATTTTGCACGACAGAACGCTTAACATAAAAATATTCAATGAGTGATAGACAACATCTGTTAAATGCATGCAGCAAATTGTCTATTGGTGATGATGATAATAATAATGGAAGTAAGAAACAACTTTTGAGCAATAGGTATGATATACTAAATAACTAACATCGAGAAAAATACAATCAATTTATCATTGTTGACAGTTTTTCTGATTGGTGCAGATGTTTCAATAGAAAACAGACCAATAATGAATATATTAAATTGGATGATAATAATAAATCTAGTGACAAAAATAAACCAGTTGGTGTTCTTCAATTAGTAAGTGTATTCAGACACAACACAAAATGATTGATATATGCGATTTTATTGAAGTTTCGGTTTGCAACTCGTATCGATATTGTTCTGATGTTTATTGCTATATGTTTGGCATTGCTGCAGGCAACCTGCATTGTCGCTAATCTAGTTTTATTTGGCCGACTCACTGGATTATTTGCTATTGAATCATTTGGTGATAATTGTGATCATCAACACCAAAATCCAGTAGCTAGAATCAAAATCAACAATAGGTATCATCAAGGTATCGAGCTAAATATACTCAACAATACTCTGTCACATAAGTAATTTACTGAAAACTACTGTTATTTCTTACTATGTACTTCTTTTATTTTCTTTTGATATTTTTTCATGTTAGACTGCATCATAATACTGATGTAATTTTGTTGCCAACCTTAGCCACATCAATGCCTTTACTTCGAGAAAAAGTGATGAATCTAGTTCACTGGGTATTTAGTAAGTGAAATGAACATAATAATTTATTTATAGTTCATAATGGGTATGATCTTTTCCTATCTGTTCATTAGTTGCTGGTGCTCTCCAATATCTGGCTGCCTCGCTTGATTATTTCATTTGGACTATTAGTATGAAACGGCAGACACGTCATATGAGTGTTTCTCTCTTTCAATCACTTGTTCAACGGGTATTTCGAATGCACTTTCAGTTATAGAAGAATTTTCCCAAAGTTCAATCCTAGTCTTTTTTTGATGTTGCTAAAAATTCGTAACATCTTATGCTGTCTTTCCAAGAAAAGCTCACCATCCACAAATTAGCAATTCTAGCAAACCTATGAAATAACCTAAGGTGCCTAGATGAAAGATATATATATTTAGGATGCTTATATTTCTAAAACTTCTAGATGTAAAAATAAGGATTCAGGGCAACAGTAGAAATATATGGTTACTCTCGCTATTTTCTTTTGTTTTTATTATACTTTTAGATGTAACACTAGGAAATGCTTACATGATAATATAAGGAGAAATTAAGGTATTTAAGCACTGGGCAACAACATAAATACAATGAGTTTTATCGCCACCACCAATAATCTTTATATCGACTATTAACTCAGTTGGCATAGAAGTTAAGATAGTAAATGTAGAAACAGAAAAAAGAACGAAGAAGAGAAAAAAAAGAAAAGAACGAAACGAAATAGTAATAAAACAAAGAGCGTATCGAAAAAGAGATGAGACAAAAGAGGAGCGAGAAGAGAAGAGAAACGAAAGCGAAGGAGGATGTACGTATGCATTTCAAGGCTAGAAAAGAAAGAAAAAAAAGAAAAAAAAGAAAAAGAGAAAGAAAGAAAGAAAGAAAGGGAGAGAGATATAAAAAAATTGCATGTGCTATTCTTTGTATACCATTAGTTTATTTCAATAAATGATATCCATTTTAAGAGAAACCATTCATGCTTTTCTGTTAATTGTTTTACTCGACAATTATGAACGAAACTGACCAAGGTGATCCTTCTGTCTTTTATGAAAATCATCCCAAATAAACATATCATTATAGAAGAGTGAACGACCCAGGTCCGTTGTGTGCATACTTTTTAATCTTCTTTGAATGTAGAGCTTAATGTATAGTTCTAATGAATCTTCCTTAGTCATAGTGAATAGATTATGTCCTGAAATAAACGGACAGCGATGCACTAGTCGAAGACCAACATGGAATTTCTGCTGTAATAATTGCTGATATGGCACGGGCAGCAAGAGAAAGAAAGGAAATATCCATGCAAAATGAGGAAATGTATATGCGAAAAAGCATTTTCTAGGCGTTTTAGTGGACATAAAACGTTTTGCCTTCACCCACTTTAACTTTTCCAAAGATTTCTGAATGTTTCTACACATCTATCAACTGCCCAGATCCACCGTTACGGACTCCATAAACGATCGTTTACGGTCGTATACGATCGTATATATGGCTCAGTATTACGACCGTATATCTTCGTGACCGTATACGGAGATATACGGAGAAAAATGAAGGTCGTAAACGAAGCGTTTACGGTCGTCAACGACCGTATTTTTCCCGTATACGATCGTAAATGATCGTTTTTCGCCAAATATGATACGAAATTATTCACCTCGCCGTCTTCTCCTCTCTCGCTATGTAATCAAGTTTATTTGTTAAAAATGAAATAATTAAAAATAAACAGAATAAAATAAATTAAAGATACAAAATATCTACTTTTCAATAACATATAAATAATGATAACCTAAAATAAATAATATATAAAGGGTGTCCCATAATAACTGTGGATAATTTTTTATCCGTATTTTTCATAGTTTTACTCGACGTAGAAGGCTAAAATTTTTATGACATATACATCAGACCCAGATCTTTTATTGCTGAAAGTTTCAGCTCTCTAGCTATAACTAGTGGTAAAATACATCGACAAAACTGAATACATAAATTTTCGTAATCGATTTCTGCATATATGGTTACTTCGAAAATATTGTAAGGTAGTTCTAAGGGTAGTCAACCAAAAAATCACAAGTATCAAAAAAAATTTCTTTCGTATCAGACTTTGTAGAGCTTTTTTCGTTGGTCATTTTGGTAAAAAAACTTTTCGCATTTCATTCAGAAATGACAATGCTATGGTTAAAAAATTAAACACTGTAAAATAGCTTAAAATGTAAGGAAAAATTGATTCATTTATCTCAGAATGGCTATTTTTTGAAGAAATGTGACGTAGTAGCTTTGGCAGAGAAAAGTTTGCTCTACAAAACCCTATGGACGGTTTCTCAGATACGGACGAATAGAATGAATAAATCACGATTGAACATTGTATACGATATTTCTATCAAAAAAATCTGACATCTTCCGTTTTTATGATAAATATTTTGATCATAACATCGCCATTTCTCAACGAAATTCAAAAAAATTTTTTATCAAAAGGAGCAGCGAAAAAAGCTCTACAAAGTCTTATGCGGAAGAGAATTTTTGGATACTTTGTGAGCTTTTGGTTGGCTACGCATGGAAGTATCCTGCGAAATCGATTACGAAAATTGATGTATTGAGTTTTACCGATATTTTTTACTACTAGTTATAGCTAGAGAGCTGAAACTTTCAGCAATAAAAGATCTGGATCAGATGTATATGTGATAAAAATTTTAGCCTTCTACGTCGAGTAAAACTATGAAAAATACGAATAAAAAATTATCCTTAGTTATTATGGGACACCCTTTATATATAAATACTATACTTACTGTTCAATAATATATAAATAATAATAATCTAAAATAAATAAAAAAAAATATAGAATACTTACTGTTCAATATTTTATAAAAAATAATCTAAAATAAAAAATACATATATTAAAATATAAATACTCACTGCTCAGTAATACATAAATCATAATCTAAAATAACTAAAAAGAATACATTAAAAAATAAAATAGTTACTGTTCGATAATATATTAATAATAATAATAATCTAAAATAAATAAAAAATGCATATATTAAAAACTAATATACTTACTGTTCAATATTATATTAAAAAAAATAACCTAAAATCAATAAAAAAAGCTTGTTAGCGCAGCTCCTGCGAAGCTGAAATGTGGAACTCACGTATACCTTTAGCTTTGTTACCTGACGCATCATCTGTATACTGAAAGACTTCTCATCAACTATAGTTGTTT